CCCCAAAACCCCAAAACCCCAAAACCCCTTGGCTCTATTTGGATATTGAAAGCTGGTATTGGGCTAGATCACAATTTATTCTTCAAGATCAGTCTATGGTGAAGGACAAAGCTTACTCCAAAGTTTCTATCCGGGTTAAAAACTACTGTCCTAGGAGGCTTGTAATACGTGTTCCTCTTTCGTGATTTGTAAGACCCCTCAACTTCGTCAAATGGGGAATCTGATCGAATTACTTTGATTAGCCTTGAATCTTGGCTGATTTTGGAGTAATTTACTAACTTAAGTTCTGCATTTGCTAGAGTGACAGATTCATCTAATTTCTTGTGCTTGATTAACCTTTCATAGGGGTCAATGTAATCATCATCTTGGTCGGAATCATCATCATCCTCGTACTTATTTCATGAGGGCACTAAGTCTGCTATGATCCTGTTGGGTAGAGACCACTGAATTGTTGATGCTTTCAACAGGAACTGGAGGCTTACGTTTCACTATCTCTATTCTGAACTTCTTGATCTTCTTCTCTTCCTCTATTTGACTCAAGCTAAGCTTCTTGTATTTGTTATTTCTCTCTAAAAGAATTAGCAAGGTTATTATACTCGAGGGTTAGTGATTGATGGAGATATGAACAACAAATTTTATGATGGATGACTAATGTTGACAATGTAAGTGTATAGCTAGAAGCATAGAGCCTTAAAGGTAGGCTTTAGTCTTTACTAAAATTAGGTGAATTAGTGTAGCTTGGGTGTGGGAGCCAGTTGGGATAGCCACCGTGAAAATGCATTTATGTATTTAAAATAGCAGGAGTAATTTATCATAACATATAGATATGGCCAACATTGCTCTCGTGTTTTCTAGTCTAAATCCTAATCTATCTTCTCCCATTTCAATCCAAAACCACCTCACCCTATCAAAAAATTCCAACATTTCAAAATGTCCAAAATTCAACTCATTCTTCATCTTTCATCAAAATTCGAAATTCCAAGAGTACACCACTCGATCCCCTCCCCTCCCAATTCCACTTACATCTCCTCATCTATCTGCTTTCTTAATCCACTAGGTACGAAATCATCTACTCCATCTATCTCTCTTTGCTTAATCTCTTCCTCTATTTCCTTCACAAAGGAATCCTGGCTCTCTGACATTACACTTGAGGCTGATCTCTCAAGTGGCCGACTAGACAAGAAAGTTTATATAAGATTTTGCCCCAAATTCAATGCTCAAGAAACCTTACTTCGATCTAGCAAATTTACTTAGCTTAGAGTTTTTGGCCGCTTCTTTAATGTTGATCACCTCATGTTCCGAGGAATTTGAAGGACTACGTGAGCGATCTTGGGGAGGGATAAGTGGGCTGAAGGGCAAATCAATAGCCGTTAGTTCCTTCCCACTCTTTGTCGCAACAGATTGTGGCTCGTGGATCTTAGGCGTACCGAATTGAAACACCTGCTTGGAACTCCTATTTTAATGGCGAGGCAGCTGAATTAAGGTTAGTCTACTATTAAGAAAATTATATAGACACATATCTAAAAATTACCTGGAGATATCATAAATGAAGCTTGAGCCCCTCCACTATTCCCTGAGCGATAGCTCAGGGAATTGTCATTGCTCACAGAGGGAGTGATGTTCTTCGATCTTCGAAGAAAACTAATCTGTGGGGGTTCCCCAAATGGATGCATATTTATAAATATTTATAATATATCCTCAAAAGTCGGGGTTTTGGGGTTTTGGGGTTTTGGGGTTTTGGGG